CAGCCATTCAGAAATAGGCCATAGTCGGCTACTCCCACAAAATAATTCAAGAATCTCCTAGAATTCATAGAAAACCCAAGCAAACACACAGTTTAGTTTAAACTGCTAGCTAAGCATTAGTTTTAACAGGCTTCACAGACACGCCGCAGTCCCCTTGAAACCTGGGAAGTGCACAGAAGAAAGAACACAATTATCTTCTGCAGGTTATTATCCAAATTCGGTGCAGGAGTTGTGAATATTGCGAAGGCCATGTGTGGCAAGCACCCCGGTGTAGTGATTCTTTTGTGATGTAAATGAAAACACAGCAAATAAATGAAGGTAGGAGCAGTGAGGGGATAATACTTACTGAGTTACATGGCTTGCTGAGGTATGCTGGTGCTTCCCTGCCAAGGGGCGCACAGAAGCAATGAATACTCTCACAGCTCCGTCCACAGAACGTCACCCACGCTGAGTAAATGCAGGACTGCATCCCTGGGAAGGACAAACTTAGAACACTTGTGAGTCAAGGGCCGACAGTCATCTGAACATGAGCTCCAAGGCAATGCGATAGCCGAAAGATTAATGGGATCAGCTGCACATGCTGGACAACTCATGTTTAAGGAGATTCAAAATCCGGTTACTGTTTTTCAACATCAGAATGTTTCAAGAAATAGCACAACAAAAGGCCTCCACTTGTTTGCAGATCCAGGTGTTGTACTTTGGAACTAAATATATTTACAGCACCGCCAAACAAATGAAAACCTGTTGAGAAGGGATCACCGTCACCACAGTACTGACCATCATCTCCACCAACTCATCTTTCATTTAAGAAGACGACTGAAATCTTGGCCCCTTTGAGGTGAGGAGCAAAAGTCCCATTGACTCAGCAGGGCCAGGCTACCACTGGAAGGAATTTCCTTCATTTCAAGCCTGAAGAGTTGAAGTTCTTGGATTACACAAAATGAGAAACAAAGAGTTTTAAATGATTTATTTGATTTCTCCACATGATCACAGTTATAGTTTTACATCAATAGGGTCTGTTACTACTTACAAACAGAATGCATGTTAAAATGAAAGCACTCCTTTCTTCCCCATAGTTACAAAAGGGGTCTCAAGCCTCCCCAGAACAGAAGCTTCTTGTAAGCATAATGGTTTTTGAAGTCTTTAACAGTCTGCATTCAAGACCTAATTCTAACAGTTTAATACAACTCAAAGCTGATTTAAGTTCCTAGCAGGAGATAGGCAACCTCAAAGTGACTGCAGACTTATAGTAATACTAATTTACACACTATGTACAATTTAGAGAATTATCTATTCCCCCTACTGGTCCCATTTTCAGCACCCCCTTTTCTCTGTTCCAAATTTAGTCTTGTTATTGGTTCCACTTTTCTTTTAAATATATACACAATAATCCATTTTGCAGGCAAGAAGTGCGATGGTATTTTACAACGGAACAGCAAAATGCATGCTTAACTGCAGAAAACACACAGCTTCATATGGAACAGCAAGTCAACATCTAGAGATTCATTGTTTATATATCTGCTGACTGTCTTTCAGCTCATTTTATCAAGAAACAAGAGGCTTCTGCTGCATGCAGTACATGATGGGAAAATCATTCTACACTGTATGTTAGACTTGTCTTCTTTTAGCAATACAAGACGCACATTATATTAGGATGAACTTTGTTTTTTGTTTTTACATTGTTGTACATTTCATTCTTAACTTAAAAAAATAAACCCCCCAAATATATATTTGATTGTTGTCCCAGAAAAGATTTTTGTTGCCACACCTTTATTCTTTATGTTTGCCTTTCATTTTTTCAAATCAGCATTACTAATTTGCCACATTATTTATGGGAAAAGAGAAACATGGTCACTCGATGCAGTTCTGTACCAGTTTTCATTGGCAGTGGCATTTGAGAAAAAAACCCTCTCAATTCTACTCCTGCCTGCAGGCTGAAAAAAATAATTTTCTTAACCCCACGCAGTGGTAAAGTGCTGTCACCTTCCTATTCTAGGCATGATCCACACTGCTCTAAGCAATTGTTAATCAGGGGTGGAGTCAGAGAGGTTATACTACAACCCTAAACAAGCAGCAAAGTTCTCAGACTTACACTGACACCAAGATATGTTTGTTTGCTTAAAGTACGCACAAACACAGAGTCTTTAAAAAAAAAATCCCACTGCTTCTCCTCATTGACTTGAAGTAGAGTTTACAAATATTGTGCTCTTATATGACCAGTTTTGTTTCTTAAACTAGCCTCAAAACGATCCGTGATTTTACACATGCAACTTACTGCCCCTAGAGGGTAGGCACAAGCTCCTGCCCCACGCGTACATGAAATCATGTGTAAATGGTTTTGCATGCCCATTTGTGACATCTTCTGAATATTCAATCGACTGCACATGGAAAATCAGTCAAGCATTGAAATGTGGCTTGCTGTGCAAGTTTAGGATATTTATACGTAACATTCAAATGAATGAAAGGGGTTTTTAAACATAAAGCAAATGCAGATCTGGGAGATTTAACATCTTCACTGTTAATTAACACAGCTAGAGTCACACTTTCCTCTCCACTGCTAGCGCACAGTCTGTATCCCATACACAGGCAGTTTTACTTACATTACAACTGCATCTGAGAGAAGAGCAGACTTCGTCACCCAGTGAAGAGGAACATTCTTACCTCTGTTTTAATCAAAAGATGCAGTTTCTGAAAGATGTTTGTACCTGAATGGTTCTTTATCTTTTCTGGAACAACCTATAAATTACAGTTAGACTCTACTATTGGTACAGATGTATGAAGAAAAGTCTACATATTGAAATATGTTGTCACTTTACTTCAACTAATATCAACAGTAACACTGATATATTTTGCAAATATACAATATGTAGAGTGTAGCCTCACACTAATAACATCAGATGACATGCAGACAGTTCTACTTTCCCTTATAAGAACAGTACATATTTTTTTAAACTGCAAGGAACAGAGCCTCAGGGGACCCGTATGAGCCCTCTTAAGGTAAGCCGCAGAATTTAGAATAGTATGAGTGACACTTAATAATGCAATTACTCCTTTTCTTTTCATGAAGATAATTTAGAGTAGAAGGAGCAGAAGGGGAAAACATATTGCACATGTGTGGAACAAACGCGGACAGCTTTCAACAAAAGGCTAAACTCTAGATTGCTGTATTTGCTTTCTGTGGAGGTTAACAAAGTGCTCAGTTTGCAGTTTTGCTGGTATCGTGATATCAATGGTATGAAAGGGAAAAAATTACTCAACCTCTCCCCCAACCCCACTAAATATTAGAGATGCCATGAGCAAGCCAATATGAAAATCACTCTTGTTCTCACGTCCTCATTATTCCTGACGATTACTGGTAAACAGAAAATTGACTGGTTGTTATTACTTTTACCCATCTCATAATGGAACTTTTTGCTCATCCTCTTCAAGGTTTGCTTTTAGGCTGGTACAGTTTTGCAGTTGTGATTCCTTTGTCTCTAGTGATTAGGTGTAAAGTCCTTGCAGTGGCTCAAAATGCTGAAACTACAAAGTAGGCGCCATATATAACTTTGTACAGGATTTCGGGATAAAAATTGTATAGAAATTTGCAAATGGTTTGATTACAACACATAAGCAACAACAGCACAGCCTGTTTTTATGTGATGTCTCACAACTAACTGGACTATGAAAGTGAGGGTTTGAGCATAAACTCAGCCTGCTGAGTGCTGGGTACTTTCAAACTAACAAATGTGATGAGTAAAAATGGTGAAGCCACTTTGTTGCTAGCACATGGCTACATGGAATTACAGTTTTCTTTTACATATATATAAAAAAAACCCTATACTAAATTCTAAAACAAACCTTCAAGTTTTAGAGCACTTCCACCTGGAAACACTCTGACTATAATTCAGCTTCATTGGGGGTAAAAATGAGAAATTATGGTAAACAGGAAACAAAGTAGCTGAGGAAGATGGAAGTTTGCCATTTTCATGTTTGAGATGAATGTTTTTGCAGTGTTTACATGCACCTCTCGTAACTCTTCATGTGTGTTCGTTAAATCATAGGCATACAAAAGAAACGTGGATCATGTAAATTCACAGTTATCACAGCCTTTAAAGTGTCTAAGAATTTGTGTGACCAACGCTTGAAGACAACCACTGGTAGATGGTCACCCTACATTGCTACGGTATAATTACTGTATCTTAATGAGTTTGCTTACCTGAAATAGCAGAGCAGTTATAATACTGATTACGTATGATATTATCGTGTTAATAAAATAAGGATTTATACAAAGCAGTATTTGACTACAACATTTAAATGCTATGTTACTTGGCACATTTAGTAATGATTGCTTAGAAACCTTAGCAAGTCCAGCGGACTTTTAATGAAAATACTGAAATGTCTGAAATTTGTTCCTAACGTTTAATGGTTTTGGTCTACTCTTTCATATGCTATTCATCTATTATACTGTCCTATCAAGTAAGTGGAATTCCTTGTAAAGTCTATATTGCTAGTTTTGTGGACTGAAAAAATTCCTTTCCAAGCACAAATGTTAACTATACAGTATATATATATATTTATATGTATATATTACTGTTAATGAGGAGAAAAGTTTACTTACGTACTTTCATCAACCATATCAGGTCTACTTATTTTTTTTGCCCATTGACAACAAAAGAGCAAGAATGCAACACTTGGTTCTGTATCACTTTTTCCCTTTTTCCATAGACTACGTTTTTATGATGCATGTAAAATTGTCAAGGGATTTGGTGTAAAAGGTAGCTTTACTCATATTCAGCAAGCAGCATGTTTTCAAGGCAGTTTGGAAATAAGAACTAACCAGATGGTAAGTGTCTATTGAGTAGATAACTTGAATTACTTTATTTAGTAACAGCAAGCCTTCAAGCTCACACAACTCAATTAAATCGCTTAGGTAAAAACTGACAGTATTATTTGTTGCTTCCTGTAAGTGCCTTTGTAACTGTGTTTAAAACTCTAGTTATTGGGAGGGTCACTACGTTCTAGACTATTGTGCTGATGCCACTGTGTTTGGGCTTAGTGCTGGCTGAAGTGGAGGGAGGTGGAGGCGGTCCATGGTGATGCTGCGAGTGCTGGGGATGAGAAGAGTGCCCTGGGTGTGGAGGGGGCAGTGGCGGGTGAGGAGAGTGGCTGTGCGGCGCGTGGGGGTGCTGCAGGTAAGGGGTATGCTGGGAGTGTGCCGCGTGCTGGGAATGCGGCACGTGTTGGTGATACTGGTGCGGGTGCTGGATATGCTGGGGAGGGTGGTAGTGGTGGTGGTGGTGGTAGGGTGGTGGGTTCTGCTGCATATGGCAGTACTGGGAATGGTGAGAGTGCACTTGTGCCTGTGTCTGCCCCTCAGCCGGCCCTGCGTGATGCATGGCAGAAGGATGCTGTGAGTGCTGCTGATGGGGGATTACTGCAGGGTGCGGAGGCTGCTGTGATGAACCAGATGGTGGATGGCCTTGGGAAGGTGGCTTTCCCCTTTTACTACCAAATAAGGAACCTAGGAGTGAGGAGGAGTTAGGCATAGTCTGGTGAGGGCAAGATGGACACTCTCGGGTTGATGTAGCTCTTCGGCGCATGTGAGGACTGCTAATGATGGACCCCTAAAAAGAAATTAATAGAAATAAAAATTAAAAAAATCTTAAAATGTTTAAAAGAAAAAGTTCACACTGACCCACAAACTCCTCCTTCAGTGTTCACATGGGTGGACTACGTTAAGAGTTCTAGGAAAAACCTTATTTCCACCTTCTCTAAGTTGCCAATGAGGCATTCATGCCATTCTTGGGATATTTTAAGCATTAAATGTTTTTCTCCCAGTACTTTAATATAGAAAGCTATGACTTCAAATAGGAAAAATGTCACGGAAGAGTAACATGGCATAAAACCTAGGAGTGTGTTTTTTAAAAGGAAAAATACATTTTAAAATACTGTAAAAAAATACCATAATTGCGTTTTTACAACAACAACAAAAAAAGATAGAACTACATTAAATTCAACCTAAACACATAGCAGCAAATGTTACAAGTTACAATTCAGATTTCAAAACAGTAATTTAAACTTTTTTTAAGAGTAGTTTTCCACTACGGTATGGCACAGTGCTGCTTCTCAGGCCTACCTCTGAATTATGTGTTAAATGGAACCATACCAGTTTTGCCACTAAGATTTCTATGCGATTGTGTTCTTCTGACCTGTGGTCCAACATTCTCTATTATTTAGCCTGGAATGGTGTATTTAGTTTCTGGAAGTTTTGGATTTGTATATTTTGAAAAGAGTTATGGGACACAACAGTACTTAGGCAGAATGTGCTAGATTTAAACTGCAATCTACCTAAAGCAAACACAAAAAAACCCCAAAACAAAACAAAACGAAGATAAAAAAAGGAAAGAATCTGCAAGCTGAATTCAGAGACATGAACAGTATATATATACATGGTTTGAAGATGAATGAAATCTCATGAAATCCACATTGAATTCACCTATCTTAATAATTTTTTCCTCCCATGCCCTATCTGTGCAATTCCATGGTGTCATGACTGCATACATTTAGCAATTTAACTCGAAAATAAGCAATGGGAATGGTTGAGCATGAAAGTCAATAGTTGTAGCTAAATATCAAACAGCAAGGACAGTGTACTTTGTAACAAAGAGCAAGTGGGCTTTTAAGCTGGGACCAGACTGAAATGGTGGCAAAAGGACACATCATATTCATTTAACCATGCTTGCAGGAACAAAGGGAACAAGGTTAGCTCAAACCAAAAATGGCATTGGTCTAAAACAAGCTGTCAGTGCTTTTTAAGCTGGAAGAATACGGAGTGAGTAGCCTAGGCATGCATTTTATTTGAGGCAGGCAGGTTATATGTTAGAAGAAAAAAGAGCAAAAAAATATGTATATAAAAGAAAGGTTTGAAATGCACATCATCACATCCAGCTAGACATCAGTAACTTCCTACTTACTTCCATATTGCTGTCTAGCGATCCTGCACTGCTGCGTCGCCCACGCTTGCCTGCCCAGGACATGCAACACCATAGATTAGAGACTGAGACAAGACCCGGGTGAAAAACAGCTGCTTTCCCTGAATCGCTAGAGGAGTCTCTAAATGCAACTAGAGGGGCTGCAGGGGTTAACATTGCACTGGACTGGTACAGCAGCTACTAAGGCAGAAACTTAGAGGTTTGGGGTTTTTTTTAAGGCCATTAGTTATATTAAGTTTCTGTACCTGACTAATTTTTAAGAGGCATTGTTGTTGTGAAGCAATTCTCATTAGCGGGGTGTGAGTTTTCAAATTCATACAACTCCTAAAATACACGTATTTTAGCGTCTATGTTGAGTAGGATGGTTATGATGTTGACCAGCCACAATTTTAAATTGTTCAGTTTCTTGGAATGTAATTGTTTATGAGGCTCCTTTCTTTAAAGACTGGTAGCATTGACATATGCTTGTGAGGTGGTATTAATTTAAATAAAAAATTTACTATCGGTATATTCTGAACTTCAGTGTGGGGGATTGGTGAGGGGCATTGGTTTCACCATTTCATTTTCAGTTATGAACCTCAGTGGATTTCATATAATCTTCTTTCATGAGGTTTAAAAAAAAAAAACTAAACTTAATTTTTGATCAATAAATTGTGAATCTGTCTCGACATTATGGCTAGATTTTGTTTGTTTAGCTGTGCAGTGCTTTATCTTTAAGTAGGATGGATTTGTTCTCCCAACATTCTCAACTTGCCAAAGACACTTGCCTAAAGCTACACATGAAACACCAGACTGCTTGCCTGAAGAGGCAGAACACCTCTGGCTACATATAGGATACAGGACCCCACATCTTCTCTCATCTCACAGGAGAGAAAATAGCCTATGGCTGTAGTGGAAATAGGTATTTTTGAAAAGATAGCTTGTTGAACATTGCTTTACAAAATACCTTACTGGCAGGGTGTATAAACAAAGCTAACCTTTGAAGAGCAGTCAGGTCCTCAAAGCTTCACTAAAATCGGCATGGTTTTAGAAACCTAAGTTTTCCCAATGCTTTCTCCTTGCTTTTCTGCAAGGCCAAGTATCAAAGACATCTTCACCTTGCATGGGTACATTGCTGCCTCCAGAATCTTCTACTCTAACAGGTGGTTTTGGGGAGGAATGTGATGATCTCAGCATCACTGAATCTATGAGCCACCTACTCTCATCTTTAGAAGCCCAAAAGGCACATGGTATCACAGCTAAAGAGAACAACTTTGGGAGAGGTTTGTAAGTGGGACACAACAGTGACTCCTGGGAGGTTCACCCCTCCTTCCTGACATACCCTCTCACAGACCAATGTAGACTACCCGTAAGTGTTATAAGGTCAGTATGATCCAGAAGTAGCACCTGTTGGATCCACCGGCACAACTTGACCTGGTTGGTCGTGGGATGCTGCTGTGAATTGAAAGTTTCAGTCCTCTTAAGGCTAAAGTAACATTTCCCCCCGTTCTGTCGCCAAGCTCCTCCCCAGCACAAACCCCTCTCCACTGACATTAAATTGAGGGGAAAGCATCTGTGGTCAAGGTGTTTTGTTCAACTGTTGGAATTTTGAACAATTTCCCTAGGCAGGCTCTTTGTCAAAAGGTTGGTAGTTCATTTCCCGGTGCCGTTTTAGCCTTATCAAAATCCCCAAGAACCCCTCTTTATGACCCCCAAGAAAAACTGCTTTTGATAATCCCTTATTTTAACTTCTAGTCAGGTTTTGATATTTTTCTGCTCTGCTAACAGGATTAGTACTGATTAACACTCAAATCACTCCTGCTTGCTGATACAAAACCACTGAGCGAGACAGCCACCTCTTAACTTAGCAGTCAGTATTGCAAATAAGACTGACAGCTGTCCCAAGTCATTACAGGTGGCCAAAAATGAAGGAAAACAGGAAAAGCTAATGCCTTTTGCCTATGTCAGAGCCAAAGTCTCTAATAAAATACCCATGAACACAGTATGTACATAGTATATAGAGAGAGACAGATGGCAGAATAACTTCAGGGCACAGCGGTACTAGCAAAGCTAAGGACAAGCAGAAAATCCTACTTAAAATGCTTGTAATTTCCCCTCAGATAGGCACTATCACAATAAAGAGAACTTTGCTTATTTTCTTAAAAACAAATTGAGCCCAGTTCTGTATGGACCTGTAGTGAGATAGGAAAGCTATTAAGTAAATCCTCCCGAGCATTCCCCCTGCCAATGTGTGTTTACGCTGGACTGTTCTCGGGTCTTTGAGATGGCATTTCCATCTCAGAAATGTTTCCCTAGAGCTGCAGCATCCAAATGCATTTCAAGAAAATGGTGACTCTCAACATTGTGTGTACGTACATGCTATGTACGCACAACTCTGTAATCACATGACAGTTAAGAGCCGTGATATAAAGCAAGGCGGTATTTATCGAATCTGAAGACTAGTTTTGCCTAATATATTCTGATCTACTTGAAGTTTTTAAGGATGCTACTTAGAGTGGGTTTTAATTTATTTTTCATAAAACTAAATTTCAGTTAATTTAATATTTTCAGATTCACTCCAACAATTCATTGATGTTAGACATGAATATTCTTTGTAAGAAATATGTTTAACTTACATAAGTATATGTCCCGTATATGTACATGCATTATATGGGACTAAGAATATTTCCAATTTATAGTGGCAATATGAAGTGATCAAAGTATTTTTACAATCTTAAACACTCCAGAAGAAAATTCAGAGTTTCATTAATAAAAATCCATTCCACCCTGCAGACATCGATCTCGCAGATGTGCGGATCGCTACAGTGAATGTAAATATTTCTCACTGCTAACCTGTATTTCTTGAAACTCTGCTGAATGCCAGTGAGATACATTGATATGTAAACACTGTGTTGTGATCTGGCTTTGCACGTCTTGCAAAAAGAAGTTTGGGAATAAGGTTCTAAATTAGGCTTTTGGTAAAGCAAACTGATGTAGCAGCTCTTGCAACAATGAGTCATTATACCAGCCTCCAAAGGCCGCAAAATTGGTATTCCCAGCAGCAGCATCCGGAACCATCTCGTTCCTGACCTGATAGGTACTACCCGACCTGACTTCCTCAAAACTATCTAAATTATATGCTCTAATCCTTAATTTCAAGACGGCACTTTTCAGGCTGAAAAGATTCTTTGTAGCCTTCATATTTTAATCTTGTTTTCTGCGTGAAACAGGTATAGTCTTAAGATGACACACAAATTGTGAAAATAGTCTCTTGGCATCTTCAAGCATTATTCTCAAAATGCTGATTAAGCCCCGGGAGATGAGAAAACAGCATAACCACACCTCGCCTCGCTGAACTCCGCTGGAAAACCAACCCGTCTCTCTTCCATGAGACAGGAAAGTAGTTGTTGCAAAGGTGTTTATATAGAGTGTGGGGTGCCTTTGAACAAGTAAACTTGTACAACGGTCTGGTATTCACAAACGCATGTCACAAAAGACTGGATTTGTACAAGCCTTTTATTAAAAACCCCAGTAAATTCTATCATGCCCATCCCTGTTGCCATTCCACTGAAGAATAGGAAATGTAACAACAGTGACAATGGAAGAGACAGGAAAAATCTCTTCCTACTTGGAAGAGTCTTCTAATAATGGAGAAAAAGGCTGCTCATAGTCTCCGTCCTCTGTAGCGCAGCAAAATCCATGGGGGGGGGCAGGAGAAAATAACCTGGTAACCCTGCCTGCATCAGATGAGGGAGGAGCCCAGGGACTGCACCATCCCACCACAGATTGATTCAGCACATTAAGGGAGTCTGTAATTGCATGAAGTCAGAGTCTTTTTAAGGGGATTACAATGCTAAGAAGTTCCATTACATTTTGGGATATAGGAAATTTTAAATAAATACATGCTGAAATTGTTAACAAAAAACCCCAACCTTTTTTGGAAGGGAGAAAGAAACATTAAAAAAGCTAAAGGTCGACGACTGCAATTACATGCAATATACAAACAGAATTATTATAATCCTGGAACTGCTTTTGGGGGTATTTTTGGTTGTTATCGTTTGTTTGTTTTAAAGTAGTCTCTACTGGTCTGTGATTGTTTTGAGATAGCCCAGGAAGTGATGAGACAAGCACAACTTATATGAATAGTACCCATTATAGCATCCTGCACTTCTGTGCAGATTCCAGTATCACATGGGTATGCCAGTTGTGTATCACTGAGGCAAACCGTAACATTACAGTTTTTAAACCAGTGAAGTGTGTAAATATTATTGTCCCCTTACAGGGTGGGGATGAGGGGGAATAAAGCTTGATTTCCACAGTTTGCTGCCAACTGTAAACTCAATGAGAAGACTCTGGGTCCACCAGCAACTCAAAGTCACCGTAATTCAGACTGACTAGCCTAAAATCAGTCAAGAAACCTGTGAGAGAGAGAATCAGGAACACAACCAGTCTAATCCTCCATGCTCTGCTCTCGTGACCAACGTACTAATGGCCACGATGGGACTTCACATCTTTCACATCTTTCTGTAAACTTACTTATCGTGTAATTGTATATGAAGTGGTGAAATGTCCAAAATTCCTTGGAACTCGTAAAACTCATCGTTAACAAAATTTGTCCGTCTTCTAATATGTTTATGTAAATTAAGAATTTCAGAGCCTGGGACGGACAAATTCAGCTCTTCCCTTGACTATAGCTCACAGATGTGTAATAGAAATGACGTATCCTTCTTCTGAGAAAAATAAAGCACTAAATAGTTTTGACATATTCACAGCTTGGAACAGTTGGTTGCCACGCAGTGCTTTTTATTCCATGGAAAGAACTGTTAATCTACAACGAACAATACTGTCTTTAAAATCAAGAGACCCTCGTGCACATCCTTTTTGCAGTTGTGATTTAAGCTATCGTGGCAAATGCATGAAGAACAACCATCAGGAAATGATTCCTGACATCATTTCCTGACAGAGAATTCTTGCCTTTCCTTACAGTTTACAGCTTAGGAGTCAGAATCACTCAGGGTATCAACATTCATTAGACCTAAGCAGCTTATGAATCGTCACTCTTTTCCAAACCAGAAATTTAAAGTTGCTTTCCACAGCCACCGTTCATTACTGTGATACCTGGTGGAGAGTAATGGAATGTTTTCTTGAATAGTTTTTTCATATACCAAACAAAATGCTGTTCAACCAGATTTCCTCTTCATGGAATAAATATTAAAATTTTTTCAATTTGATTTTGCAGTGTTCATTGGACAATTGTCTGCCTTACTGCACAACTATGCAACCAGGAAATTCTCTCATGTTTATTAGATTTACTTATGTATAAATGTAGAAAGGAACTCTCTAAAAATCTGCTTTCATCTGCCTTTTCCTACAGAAAGACACACATCCACACACAGTCCCACCACTCTTGTTCCCCCTCCTTTTTGATCCTGTGTGTCATCCACAAAGAAGAACTGAGGTAACCTAACTCGGTACTCTTTTACAGTCACTGGGACACAGTATCTTGCTAAGTGAAAGAGATTTCTTTGTTTCTCTATGGACCATCTCTCCAAAGTTAAAACAAAATCAGCCTCACATGCAAGCTATTCACTGAGAAAAGGCAGAACAGACAGGTATAATCTCACCAAAATTAGACCAAATAGCAAAGCAAGTAACAGTTATGTAATTTCTCAAGTCAGATGCACTGCACAAGACCAAACAGAAACTCTCCATAATTCTCAACTCGTTAAAGTTAAAATTAAGTTTAGTTGGGTTTAACAAACTCATTGATAAACCCTGCAGTCTGTGTGTGATTTCTACTTTTTATTATGGAAAAAAGTTACTTTCAGTAATGAGCATGCCAATTGTAGGCATGCTCTGTTGAAATGTGAAATGCTTTCATGATTACAAATACTTGTTTATCGCACAAAACCCATTAACATGAATTTAAATATATGGCAATGTTTGAAAGATAGGGATGAAAAATTCCTACGGGATGAAAAAAAATTAATCAGAAATCACATTTAGGAATACAGACACTCACTGAACTCACATATTCAACAATATGGTAGTTCTCATTCTAATGAGGTAAAACCAAATCAACAAAACAGGATGATGGAAGAATCCTCAAATATGAGGCATAATAGTGGTGGAGACTAGAGGCTTGATCTAAAATCCACTGAAGCCTATCAAGCACCAATATTCAACTTCAACTTGATTTTGGATCAAGGTCCTAGGTCTTTTAGTGAAGCAAATGGACATATGAGTATGAAAGCCTAAACAGAGAATAAAATAATTGAAAGAGCTCACTCTCTACACATTTATATGCACATACATATACCCACAAAGCACAGGCTAAAATTTCAGTTTACAACAATTTTATTTACTGCAGCATGCTAAAATCTCTTCTTTAGTTAAAAAAAGGAGAAAGATTAGTGCCTACTACCAAAGATATACATAGTATTGAAATTATGACTGCAATTGAAAGAACGAATCAGAGTACGTAACACAGACTATGAACTAAAAAAAAATAAATGTATATATACTACTGTTGCTACTATCCCCAGAAGTACTTTCTGAACCGTGGGCATGCTGTTCAGGTATGACTTCTTGTAAACAACAGGAATCATGTTTAACACTGAAAGACAAGGTTAGTCCCCACGGCAGCCTGTATTACCTGGGTATGCCAGTTGTGTATTACCAAGGCAAACCATAAGACATGAACATACCAAGCTTCCCCTGGCTTTTCTTTGGCTAAAAAAATCACACCACTGCTCCTTTGCAGTCTTTAGTTGTATTAATCAGTTAATAAATCTGAAGACAGGTCAGTGGCTTTGTGGGATATCAGTAGTCTTGTCCACTAGGGCTTCTTTTATTGTATTGGCAATAGTATTTCACAACCACCTCTTTTGCAAGAACTGGGAACTACATCTTGAGTTACAAAACAATAAAAGAGCATCAGGGACACAATGTATCTGAATTACATAGCTCTAGGCAGAATTTAGTAGGGCTTCACTCAATTTCATTCATCGGTGTGGTAACACAGGTACACTTGAGCACAAAATACACAGAAAGCGGTCATTACACAGAGACCAGTTTCTTTTCTTTTCTTACTAAGCCTGCTGTATGAAGGGGAAGAAGCAAATGGGAAGAACAAAAGAGAGGATAACTAAGTGGGTTACTCCTAGCACAACTCAACCATTTGTTTATAAAACATAATTTTTCCTCTGTCTTCACTCTCCTTTAAAAGTATATAATAGCATTCTATAACAGTTTAAATGCTTTCAAACAGTGGTTGCTTAATAGAACAAGGGTTAAAAAACCAAACAGAAATGAAACACGAACTATGAAAGAGGAGCTATTTAAACGGTTTGATGTTTCAGGATTACTAGTTCCGGAAGCCCACTGTGAGCTGGGCTTTATGTGCCTCCTTCACTCATCTTTGCATGCACTCGTCAGAGCACGGCAGCGCTTACCTGCTTCAGACAGGTCTCGGAGGGAGCTGCTCAGCGCACTTCTTTTCAGCCCCTCCCCGGTAGCATAGCTGTCATCCAGGCAAGCTCTGTTCAGCGTGCCATTGCCAGAATCTTTTTTCAGACTGGAGCATTGAGACATGCTTGGACGCACCACACCCTTCTGTTTTTCTAGCTCAGCTGAAACCAAGAGAATAAATTTTGCAATTCATATTTATTGGCTATAATGAAGGATATGGTAACATCACTATTTCTGTATGTGATCATGTATTCCTATGAATCACAGACAAGAGTTTATTTTGGCATCGTTAAATAACAGAGAGGAACTTCACCCCTGTACTAACAGCTCTATATTACAACATACAGGATGAAAGGCTATTCCTCTTTTCGAAAAATATAAGATAAAATTCCATGTTTAGAATCTCATGTAACTTCCAGCAAACTGTATCAGTTTGTACTATGGCTATGTACTTGAGAGAATGCAGGAATATCAATATGGAAATAAAAAGAATTGAGTGAAACTTCTCTGAGAATTTTGGAGTAATGTAAATTATCCTTAGAATTCTTACTGCGATTTATACTACAAATGACAAATCCATCTCTCCTCCTCAGTCCATTGCTATGTGCAGTTTGCCCAGGCTAAATTTCCACTGCAGCTATGCTGCAGTAAATAACAGTCAATGAACGCAGCTGGGGCTTAAGATAGCATTGGCTTTTTCCTCTATCTAGAACCAAAGCCAGGGAAAAGACAATCATTATTTTGAACTTTTAATGAGTTCTTTTGAATTCTAATGGCTTATACACACATTCAAGATTTTCTTATTTGGTTCGCTTGAAAATGTTCTATTATATGTACCTTTGTACTTACACTCTATTCTGTGCTTTTCCATTTCCTGAACCTCTGCAATTGACTCCCTCAAATCATCCGTAAACTTCTTCCTGTCCTGAGGATTTGGTGCATTGAAATTTATTAGTACTTTGATATCTGCTCCTGGAACAGCTGATGTGAGCCGAATACCATTTGGATAATCTAGAAAGAAAGAGTCAAGAAAAGCTAAGCTCTGTTTATTCCAATTACTTTTTATTAAAAACAAAAAACCCAAACACCAAAACCATGAAGGTTTTATACTAATATTACCATATAGAGGACAAAGAGAAATAAAAGTCTAAAGCACAGAATTAGAATGAAAATCCCTAAGATACACTGGAACTGCCTAACTGTCAAGATACCAAACAAATATTGAAAGTTAGTCTTTATGCAGCTGTCACCCTTAAGGTACAATGTACAATATAAAAGAATAATCCCACAAAAAAAGGCAAAAAATCTAAGGGGATCATCTTCGTTTCATGGAAATGATCCCATTACCTACCTTACTCAATTGTGACCGAAGTTGTGATGAGTAAAGGCTGCACCTCAACTACTAGAAACTGTCTCATGCTTTTAACTTAACGTTTGCAGGAAGACAAACACATCTAGCATGTACACCTTCTAGTATTGCCTATTAAGTTTTGTTCCCTGAACATACTACTTTCCCTTTAAGAATAACAAACAAACCAAAACCAACCAACCAGACAAACAAAAAACCCCATTATCTGTGAAACTGCATACTGAGGAAGTAAAAGGGGTGGGTTCCCCCCAATTTGGGCGCATATTATGGACATCTTCACAATAAAAGGCACATTTTTCAGCAAACTGTCTTTGACACGTTTTAAGCTGCACGTCTGAGAATACAAATTTTAACAGCTGATCAAAAATACCTCCTGGTTAAGATAAAAGGTTCATAGCTTATAATGAAGGTATGTTCTGCTGCAGAAAACAGAATCAGCCTTTGCTTGAAATGCAGACCTGGAGAAATGGGGTGTCAGAAAACTCAGAATGTGCATTCTAATTCACAGTGTTTTCTTTTACTCAACTGCCTGACCTTACTGGTTTGCTAAAGCTCTCAAATATTTACTTAAGCATTCAACCTGAAGCTCAAGTGCTCCCATATATTAAAAATTCATTCCCTCAAGAACCAGCAGATGACATAAGGTAGTCTTTTCCTCAAAGCAATTAGGTTTCGACAATACAGACACTTAAAATATTGAGAAACTAGTGCAAACACCATGCTTTTTTTTTTAAAGGATACCTTAACTTCCAAATCAGAGTTGCAACTAAAAGCGAAGCAAGTCCATTTACCATTCCCAGGTAGAAAAAGCAGCCCACTACGACAAGCTTCTAAGGGTACAGAGTGGGAGGAGGGAGTAGGAATTTGGGGCTTCTGCTGGGGTCTGGTATCACTATCTGGCACAGAAGCAATGTATAGCTGATCTGCTTCTCCTGACCACATGGCAACTGCATCTACCTTCAGTCAAGTAAAACAGCTGCCTCGAGTTGTCTGCAACGGCCAAATGGACAGAAGTGCAGAGGGGTCTGGTGCCAAGCAAGCTAACAGGTGGACACGGTGTAACTGGATATGCAGAAAGAGCTCTAGGAAGTGCACCATTAAAAAAAAAAATAGTTTATAAACCAAACAAGGAAACTTGGTGACCCCGAGGTCACACAGGAACAAAGAACAACCAATGTCCACATAGCAACCAAACAAAAATATTTTATTACCAGAGATACTTCTCTGCATGGCACTGATGAAGCATCAGGAAACACTGACAGACGTATTTACTTGTCTCAGCAAAAGCTCTCTCTAAAGCGATCTGCTTGCTCTTTACATTTTCAGTGATTTTGACCGAAAATGTAAAATACACTTCCCTTATGGCCTATTTATTTACTAGAGATAAATGACATTATTTTCTTTTCTGGAGCTCATCCATCCCTCAGCATAATTAACTTCTATCATCAGAACTCAACTCTTCTATCATCGATGACAATTATTTTATTCAACCTCACCAGTAGCTATACCAATATTTTTACTGCTTCTGCTGTAACGACACTACATTTTATTCCCTTGAAACCAGCTGATTCTTACATCTGCTACACACAGATTTACTGAATGGCATGATGGCTCTGGCCAAAATACCCCAGAGCTTGCTGGAGACAGGGGAATCCAAGAATATGAATTTTGCAAACCAGAGGGGAAGCATACTTCTCTTTCCCAACTGGAAAATACTGCATTCCACCTGACAGGCACCAACATTAGAAGTGCAATCAGCTAGCCAATTCACCATAGGGAATACTCCTTAGGAACCCAAAAATGTCTACTAAAGTTCCTCAGTTAAAATGCCTCCGGTTCACTGAGAGCAATCCAACCTTTTACTCCCTGTTCCACTATAGATATTTTTAAGTTTACCTGAATAAAATGTTTCCACTTCACGTGCTGACATGATTTTTTTTTTAAAAAATATTTAACTTGACATCAGAGGAATTACATATTTTTCTACTTTTAGAAGAATCCAGGATAGAAATATTTGGCTTTCCGGTCTAAAAATGAATTTTATATCATAATGTGTGCACAAGACAGAGAATGAATGCGTTTGCATATGAATTATCTGTAGGATACATCGCTGCTGACAGGCTCCACAAAATCTTGCCTTTTGAAATCTCCAGATGCTTTGACTCAATAGCAGTGACTTCTTTTGAGTGAGAGAAGCGCTGGAGCACATTCTCAAACATAAGCAAAAATCTAGTAGCTTTCCATCACAGAAAAGCCCAGAAACCACTGAACGTCACACTGAACTGTATCCAATTTATCATGAAGGTCAAGGTTTGGTTCACAAACCATTAAGTCAGGTCAATTAGACTGTCTCCCTACGTACCATACAAACAACTATGCTCTGCTGTTATTACTGATGCTGTCTCTGGGCCTAAAATCTACAGGAGTATTAGCAAACTATTTGCGTTTTGCTGGGTTGTCATCTGCTGAGACTAAGCTTGACAAGCATTAAAGATGAAAATAATATTGGATTGAAATGACATAACGATATGGGGTCAGAAAAATACAAACTTTAATCCAGACTCCCTGCTTCGTATTTTATTTGAATGCATATACATTACCTAAGCACACATTAAGATATAAATCAGGAAAATAAATTAAATAGTGAATTAAATTACACATATCATTCTAATAGTCGTTATTTATTATCATACATTCAGTTCCAGCTAACTACCATTGACTCAGCAACAGATATCATGTAATTGTTTCTTTACAAACATTCTATCCTTTACAATCATTCCCAAACACCACATTTGGCATGATGTGGCTTCTGACTACAACCAGAAAAATCTAACAGCAGTCTTGCTGTTTTTTATGCTGACAATATCCTATTTTGAACATTAGGGCGAAGTTAAATTCAGAGCAATTTTATTCCTAAGTCCAGAATCAAGTCCTGTTCATCTCTTTCATTAATTTTTTTTTCCTTACTTAATTTTATTTTTGAATAAAAAGGTTATCTAAAAAGAGAGGAAAATACTTACACTGGTTTTCAAAAAGAAGAACTTGCATTCCATAGAGAGAAAAGGACTGTCGAAAACTGTACGTAACTGAGTTCTTCTTCTTTTGAAAAATCTTGGTCACCTGAAAGTTATCAAATAAACAAGTGAATATCCCTTTTATCATATGTGGTTTTGGAATATTATTGTTCTTAAAAACTAGCATACGAGAAAACATCTGATGCTAAAGAAAGCTGTAATCTGCCAGAAAATATGCACTTGTAATTTTTTTCTTAATGCAACTGATGTATTTAATCTTCTATTACTGAAGAAACAAAGCTAGCTGTGAAACATTGGTATCTCTTAACCAGGTTTAACATTTTATTCAGCTACAAAGCCTTTGTGTTCTCTCTTCTCCAAAACTCTACGCCTTGGAATTCCAGAAAGAAAAAAACCCAACCCTGCCTCCTTATTGTGCATTGTACATACTAGTAAAAATGTAACTATGTTTAAATTATTCTTTTTTAAAATCTTAGCTGCTACCACACTTGTCCTCCTGCTTTTTTCTTACAGGCTGACTGTGGGCAGCACACACCTATAAACCTCTCCACGGAAGTTTAATTCCTAGCCCTCATTCTCATGTGCGGCGTGACTTTCCAAGCCTGCTTCACTCCTGGGCACCACCAAACACTGTCTCACAGGATCTCACCCAGGGATGCCCTGGTTTCCCTGTGATTTGTACAGAATCTATCTCAATAAAAGCTGTGTCTGTGGAAACCTTCACTTTTTGCTACAATAGAAATAACATACTGCTACTTACCATCAATTCTGGGGTTCTACTACGGTGTGAATGTAACCACTCTTTATAACCAAAAGGTTATTTTTTATTTTTTATCTGTTCTTTTTTAACTTTTGGTGATGGCATCTTACTAAAATTGACAAATTTGGTGTACGTTATTCCCAAAACAGTTTGATGAAACTACTGACATCTGAGTAAGTAGTGAAAAATGACTGAATCTTGCAAACTGAAGATGACAATGATCTATCAATTTGCAGCCAAGTTCTCATCGAAGCACAGAACGCTTTGGGTCGGAAGGGACCATCTAGTTCCAACCACCCTGCCAGGGGCAGGGACACCTTCCACCAGACCAGGTTGCTTGAAGAACATCTAGGAGGTTATACTCATGCTAAAAAGGATTAATTTTTTTATTTACTTCCTGGTTTTAAGGTCTGAAGGTATGCAAAAATTATGCACAATAAAACTGTGTATCTGAAGTGTGCCTTTTTGGTAACAAAACATGAAATATTTGATTTAGTTCTTAGTTCTCAGGTAACAGCTAAATACATTCCAAATAGAGTGCAACAAGTTTTCCTATTTTTAGAAGTAAATCAACCAAATACTTTCAAGCTGCCACTAGTTTTGTATGTCTGTTTTTCAAAAGGCTGGGTCAAGTTAAATGCTCACTAAAAAGCACAGTCAACTGTAAAATGTATTTCGACATATCCTAGTCCTATTTTAATGAATAAAGATGTCTGGCTCACAGAAGACCTGGAGAATACAAAGTAATATGTCATTTTGTTTTTCCACAAGTTACTTGAATTCATTATTCACAGGTTAAAGAATGTCTCCATTGAGGAAATGGATAAACTGGGGGCAATTTTGTTCTTTATCATAAAAACTATTGTATCAAAGTACTTCCTTACAATAGAGTATAATAATCAATAAAAGGCTTCAGTTTAAAAGCAAACTATATATAATGAAAAAAATTAAGAAAATTTAAATCTTAATCGCCCCAAGGCTGTCAGAGTACAGAGTAACAAGTAACATACTTATTTTTAGGGATGCTTATGCAGTTAATTGCCATTGATGTCATGGAGATCTTTCTGAAAACCTCACTAGAAGTCTATCCACCTGAAAATACATACCACGAGAAGATCATTAAATAAAAATATCTCTCGCTGGTGCAATCCAAGCTTCTGAGGTTTATTTGGGTCTGGAACTTCAAACAACCTACAGTAGCAAACAAGCCTCCGGTGGGGTAGAGAGAGGACCTACAATAACACAAAAGTTCATGGTTAATATAGCAATATTTAACCAAGGAAGAGCATCTTAAACACCTAGAGCCTTTTTTGAATACTTCAAATATTTTAACCTCTAAGACCATTAGACTTTTTCATCAAAGGACTAACAACAGAAAAATAAAGATTCATATGCCACAAACTTGCCTGACATTCAAACTTCATCAACATTCTTACATAAAATATTCTCTAACAGTTTGCATTCCTGTGTACGGATGCCGATGAAGGTTTCACTGGGGCTAGAGTTTTACTTTGTGAAGCGATGAAACCTTGAAAGAATTTAAGATTGAGCAAGTGGGTGCTCAAAGCAATGAACGTTTGCTTTCCTGAGCATTTTTACATATCTTTATTAGAAGAAAGGATGCAAAGGAACTTTAGCTTTTGTGAGATGAATACACTGATGTATATTACTTTTTGTCAGCCACTGAGTTAACTCGGTTTGTTCATTCCCCAGTACCAAGGAAATGGTGACATCAGGAAAAAGTAAATGCATTTTCAGTCTGGCTTATTTACTCACGCCAGCAAGAAAACCAAGAATAATTTTCCATCTTCTTATTTGAAATGTCTGCTGAAGCTATCTCTGAAGCTGCTGTTTTCAACCTAGTGAGACTTCTTTTCTTTCAAATGCAAATGATGACATCTTGCCAACAATATTAAAACAAATCCTTTAAACTTTAAAAATTTGAAGTAGAGAATATTCTTTGGTAACTAGACATACAGTTAATTTATATATTGTACTTCTTCATAATTCCTGATTCTGCATTGGAATTACTAGGCAAAGAAAACCGGTCAAAGACTGTTACGCTGCTTCTTCCTCTACATAAGCAGGGCGGGAGTGGGGAATGGGGAGGAGGGGTGGGGAGGAAAGGGCAGAAGGAGTTTAGGATTCACTATCTGCCCTAGTTCTTAGTTGGTTATAAAGTCATTTAGTGAATTTTCAGTTTTTTCCCCAAATCCAGTGATGACTATACTAATAACAGATAAAATGCTAATAGCATTTGTCTATGGCATTAGCTTAATTATCTTCCCTGAACTTGCAGGGAGAAGGTATCTAAGAAAAAAATCTGACATGTACTAAAGGAGCTGGTGTGGTGAAGAATTCTGGAGAAATCAGTGTTTCTTATTTTCAGGCTATTCTGGTAACTGAACAGCTCACATGGGCTCTCAGGGAAAAGTGGCAGGAATAAACGTTGCATGTTCTCATTCTCTCTTACCTCCAGACTTAGTTTCCCCAGCACATGGCAGTCTGAGATTTGCTACAGCGAGATAACAAAACGCAAGGGTAGTCACTGAGCCTGTGAAGTTGCAAACAGCTACAGGGAGCTCTGGTACTGAAATTTAACTACAGTGCTTTCACTCACAGCCACAGATGATCTGCTAAGATTCCCTTCCACCATACTTCATAAAGGTCACATCTTTCAGTTTGTTTTTACAGTCAATGGTACTGCTAGACATGCATCCGTGAAACGACAACAGGTACTTCACTTATATGAAGCCAGCTTTGCCTGATTTTAATTGCTTACACAGAAAAAGCAAGAAATAGAAGACTGAAAAAACAAATGAAAGTTTAAAGTTCCTTCTCGGCATTGTTCAGAGTGAAGATGCTAATGCACAATGCAGTTACAATTGGGGGTGGGTGGTAAAAATCATTAGGATCAAATTTGTATAAGGTAATCTGATTTCAGAGCTCTTCTGCTATGAGGTGTTTTTTTGTTTGTTCAAAACTAATAGAAATAATGTTACCATGAAATTAAACTAAACCAAATACCGCACCAGAAGAATAGTTTTAGGATTATTATTGGGTATATCTATAACTTAAGTCTGGAATCAATACTTTCTATGTCCATCACCCTTCCAGAAGAGAAGTGTTAAATTAGCTGACAATAGCTTTGTAGAGTACCACTCAATATGAAACGGACCAGGAAGAACAAACACACCAGGGCCAGCAGGAAAGGTGAGCGCAACTGTAATGTCACTTAGTTATTCATTCTTTATTGGCGCTCTGATTTCTACAGAGATAATAGCATTTGAAATGCATAAAAAGGTGTACTAGAAAAAGGTCCAGAAAACTCTTGGCAATAAATTAAGCAGTCTCTCTGGGAAATACATTTTTAAGAAAATCTTTATACTTTGGAGATTTATTACTACAACAATAAGCAAATTCTGCTTGAAAGAAGCCCAATTTTTTAAAAAGCTAAAATGAAATAGAATGTATTATTGACAGTTCAAGAAAAAGCTGCCAGTTAAACTGCCTATAAAACTCTGAAGGAGCATGAAAGAAATACCTACACAACCAAGTCCATGATGTAGAGATCCAATCTACAGTAGAAAGACATACACAAGTTCGTTAAACTTCAGAGAAACACAGTACTGTATCACAACAAGTAAATACATCACGGTCTTACTATGACTAAATGCCTATAAAGTAAAAATAAAATACTTCTATCAATAAAGACTATTGGCTATTTCCTGAATTCTCTTCCACACAGTTAAAAAAAGTGTCTAAACAGAAGAACCCTTGAACCTAGGACTCTACTGAGGGCATGGTTTTCTTAATCCCACTGAAGTTACAAGGTCAGGATTAGTTTTAGGATTTGAATGGACACACACCTGAATAAAAAAAGAACGAGGAAAAAAACCCATCTCCCACAGAAGCCTATATATAAACCTAAATCCCCAAATAATTATGAAAAGTAAGTTTCATATGAAAGCGTGACTGTCAAATACTGACTTTAGACTATTTATTTCCCTTACGCTCAAAAATATATAAAAGCTTTTATTAATAAAATTTTGCTTTCTCTCTTGTCTGCTTCTTCCAAGAGACCTCCTCAATATTTCCTTACTGGGAAACAGAAGTAAATAGGATCTTCTTTTTTTGGTGGTCCCTCATTCTCTGCACCTGCCTCCCAATGTTGAGGCTTGTCTGAGAAAAGATTACAATTCAAAGCTCCTTAAAAGTAACAGGGAGAATCTTGAGATGCATGATCTTCTTCTTAATAAAAAATCCCCCGGCCCATCAATCTCTGCTTCAGTTAAGTTCTCCAGAGCTGATGAAAAAACTGACGTAGGACTTCAAAAATGTGCAAGTCTAGTCTTTTTTTGGCTTTGTTCTGGGCTGCCTTAGTGACTATTAACATGAAGATTTTCAGAAGATGCCAGTAGGACTTGCATTCAGGACAGCTAAGTATCCACTGTCCCTCTCCATACTAGATACAATTGTTAGCATGTGAAATATTGGTCTTAACATCTCCGTGTTTTCAGCTCCTAAAACAAATGGAAAAATGCTGTGGCCTTCCTTTACTCTCTTCTTTTCCAACAGACGCTTTGAAGATTAATTTATATAGCAACATATTTCAGGATTCTTCCCACCACAAAGCAAGAGTTATCTCTGGATGCTCAAACCCAGAACTTGAATCCCTGGGACCTGATTTTCAGATAAGATCTGAGATAAAATGACACAATCTCCCCTCACAAATACCATTTCATAAAACTGTGAAGCTGAGAAAGACGCTGATGTGCACATAAGTTCTCTATTAGTCTTGTAAATTATGGAGCCATAACTGATTGTGAAAATGTTCGTTATCACTTCAACGACACACTTTGATTCTCTTGCAACAAATATGAGAACTACCTAAAATGCAGATATTTCAGTGTAATTTCAGAATCGCAAAGCTTCACAAAGAGAAAACAGTTTAAGACTCATAACATTGTCACTCATGAATACCAGACTGCAACAACAAAATTCATCTGCACGGTGAATGCTCCAAAATTAAAACCAACCTTAACAGCAAATTATTATTTTGACATTTTCTGCCCTTTGATATTTATCAACCAATTTATACTTCTAAGCAACACACCTCTGTGTTGTTCTATACTGTACATTGCCCTACACCTGCTTAGTAACTGACCGGCAGTGCAAAGTGAACTTACCGGTTTCTTTCCTACTATGAGTTTTTCAACCTTCTGTACTTGGGATACATGATCCTCATTTGTCTTCAGTTCCCGCTTGCGGATTCGCTCATAAATCCCAATCAGCATTTCTCGTGGGATATCTTCACCATCATCCACGCCTGCAGAAGCCAACAGTTTCAGTTGTCAGTGTAGCTCTGAGTGACCTAACACACAGTGTTATTTCTCAGCAAGGAGAGGATAAAGCACGGGTAAGCTTTGTTTCCTCTGCTAGCAGTAATGCCAGTGTTGCCTAAGACTGCTGATGTTTATGCTGTTGTGGTTTTTAGCTGCCAGTACTCTGCCAGCTAACATCTCCTACGCTCTTCTGTGCCAGAGCAGCAGAAGTTACGTTACTCTTGGCTGAAGCACTGATTTTTGCCTAAAAGCTTGCTGCCCCCAACACGCCAAGACACTGATGGAAATTACACAGCTTTGGGTTTTTATTTTAAAACTCTAATCTCATGCAAAGCCATAAAAAGGCTGATTTCCTATGTTTTTTTGGTTTGTGGGTGTTGGGTTTTCTTTCTTTTTCTTTCTTATTTTTTCTTTAGTTTTTTTAAGCCTCCTCTGTTTGGTATTGTGTTGGATTCAGTCAGGAAAGAGTTAACTCTCCTTACCGTGGCTGCTAGGAAGTTGTTCCTGGATGCAGAGAGCAGGAACAATCTATGAACAAGTTCTCAGCTGGCGCTGGGCA